TGTAATGTAGAGCATAGTGACCTTAGTTAATAATACTGTATTGCATATTTGAAAGTGCTAAGAGCAGATCTTAAAGTTCTCATCACAATAAAAAGATTTTTGTGTGTCAACTAGACTTGTTGTGGTGATTATTTCATAATATATACAAATATCAAATCATTATGTTATATCCCTGAAACTAATGTAATATGTCAATTACACCTCAATAAAAAAATCCTAATTTCTGCTCAATGGAAAAATGTATGGGGTGCTTTGAGCATCATTAAGAGAGGAAACACTGACTTTTCTAGTTTTTCCGTCTAGTTTGGGGGCTCTTCCCTTCCACAGCTACATCAGTGCTCTTGAGTGACAGAGTGGAAGTTGAGAGCTCTTATCCAAAGGTCACCGAGAGGCTGCAATACTCAAACGAAAAGGCACTGCCCTGCCCGTGACCTCTGGCGCGGCTGGGCAGCGCCTGGAAGGGGAGAGGCGTTCACACCCGGTGCCACTGAAACCCCAGACTTTCCGACTAAGCCCACGCTACGCAGTGTGCAGAATCATATCGCCGTTGGCCAGTATTCCCCAGACACAGGGCATAGCGAGCAGTAATAGTAAACCCTGATTCCTTCCAGTCTCCTGGCAACCAGTTTCCAAATCCATTAAGACCCTTGGAACTTAGGATTTAGCCTGTTGTTTCTCTCTCTCTTTCTCCTTGCCTTTCCCCTCTTTCTTCCTCCTTTCTTTTCTTCCTTCCTTCCTTCCTACTTCCCCTCCCTTCCTTCTTCCGAGGATTTCAGGATTTAACCGCTGTGAAGCTCTAAATCTCAATTTCCAGTGTGTGCGTCGACTACTCTGTGAAATTTAATTCTATAGATGCCTCTTTTGCTACTGGTTAGCATTGCTAATAACACAAATGAAAGTTTTCGCAGGAGTTAGAAGGCCCTACCTGAAGATTCAGGGATCACAGTGCATAATCTGAAATCTAAACGCCCTGGAACACGAAACGTTACTCATAATTACATTTATGGTGCCAGAAAGAGCCATAAGAAAGGTGCTGTTAACGGCGATGAGCGCTGATGGCCAAACTTGCTAACATCTCCGGAAAACCCCAATTTGCCTTTTCAACGTCACAAATGAGAGCGATTGCTCTTTGGGGCCTCAGCGTCAAACAAAACAAAAGAAAAAAAAACAAAACAAACAAAAAGCAAACTCAGCGTCTGAGGAGGTGTCATCGGGGATACAAGTCGGCTGCAAGTTCCTGCCGAAAGAGGGCGTCGGTCTAAGACTAATAGAAATTTGTGGACACGGTTGCCTAGTCAAATGAAAAACTATTTAAAAACATTTTCAATTTATTTTAAATTGCGGGGCGTAAGTGTCAGAATTCTCCCGTCCAATGTAGCACGTTCACATTGCAAATGACCTCGGTGTGTTACACTTTCAGAGGATTAAGTTCCATTCAGACTTTCCCTGCAGCGCGGCGGACTCTGCCGAGGCTCTCGGGCCACGGACTTCTCCATGGCCGTTTCCATCCTCGTCTCCACCGCTGTTGTGGCCGTGACCAGTGGCAAGACTGGCTCTCGGACGCAAGACCTTTCTCGGCATTGCAGAGCCCGGAGCACAGGGTCTCGCGCGCCGGGGGAGGAGAAGCGGTTGGATTTCTGAGCTCACAGATTGGAGAGGAGGACGCGCCTGCACCCAGGGGACCATCCGCGTAACGCTTTAGGAGGAAGGTCTCTTTATTTAGTTACCTGGTTTAGCAAACAAAGCCCAGAGGACGCCTTGGAGATGCTCTTCAAGCTTTCTGCCACCTTCGGAAGAACTGTTCTCTCGCCTTTGAGAGCAACAAGTTTCGCTTTTCTGCTCGCGCCTGTGGAGGTGTCGGTGCACGGGGACACTGGATTCCTGGCAGTACAGCGGCTCCAGCGCGAACTCGCGGGGCCCTGGGAGAGGAGGACCGCGCGGGGCGAGGGGGGCGGGGGAGGCAGGGGTGCGAGGACGCCCAGGCTAGCTGGGCGTTCCAGGTCCCCGACGGAGCTGTCTGCACCCGGACCTTGGTCCCTGTTCACTGACCTTGCGCCAGGAGACCGGGAAGGTCGAGTGCCCGCCCCAAGCTGGCGCGTCAGGAGGGAATGTGGCCGAGTGAGAAAGAGGTGAGAGCCAGCAGGACCTAGGGTTTTTTTTTTTTTTGCAACGAAACCACCAATTTCTAGGACCACCCCCTTCCTCTAATCCTGTATTGTTTTTTTCTCCGCCGTTTGTGTATACCTGCGCACATTTCTTTACTTTCAAACACATTTCCATTTTTAAAGCCAGGAGCTGGAGAGAGAGCGAGCTGCAGCGTGCGAGCCAGGGAGAGACGGGGACCCCGGTGGCGGTGTGGAGCGGTGGGGCTCCCGCCCGTGCAGACGTGGGCGACTGCTGCTTTAAGGAAAAGGGCTGGCGGGGAGTGGTAGTTAGGGACAGGGGAGGGGTGGGAAGAGTAGGGGTGCGGGGAGGAGCCCTGATGTAAGAATGTTAATGAGAGGCTCCCCCAGCCCAGCCCCCACCACTCCCCACCCCCACCCTTCCCACCCGCTGGAAATACAAGCCCGGCCTCGGCGCGCCTTGTGTGGTAACACGCTCCGCCGCTGCCACGCTATTTAAACGCGGGTTATGGATCCAGAAACCGGCGCAAATCAATGAGATCAAACGCGAGGGAGATGCACCGTCAATTACAAGCACTTGGACAAGTCTAACTTTTTTTCTTTTACAAATACGCTTTCAAAAGCAACCTTAGCAATGCCCAAATAAGAAGCCACCTCTAAGCAAAATAGTATATATAAAGGGAGGCGAATATATATATTATAAAAAGTATATATATATATATGTAAATATATTATAGGCGTACAGGTTTACACCCGGCGAACTTTTTCTTTTTCTTTTTTTTAAGCGAGTGGCATTGCAAAGAAGGACTCTTCCTATCTTTTGGCGAATTAGTGAAGGGGGTATTGTATTTTCTTAGGGCGCCCAAGGGGGCGCAGGGACTTCGGAGAGGAGAGTGGGGAGGGAAGAGGAAGAGTGGGTGGGGGGCAGAGGGCGAGTCCGCAGCGAGGGCAGGCGCTTTCCTGCCGCACGATGCCGTCCCTGCTGGCGCTCACTTTCTCCGC